AGTTGGTGGAGGTGCTTCTCACCTGTGACATATTGTCGTGAATTCTTTCACTGTCTTCTTTTCTTTGTTTTGTGTCTTCTTATTAACTTTTCTTAAATAAAAATACAAAAAGGTAAGCCTTCACACACTATTTCTATTATAACTACATCTCTTTAATCCTCTTATCATAGTATTTTGAGAGCATTTGTTTTTTACTAAACTTGTTTTTGTGAAAATACATAACCACAAAATCTTGTGTGATGCTCACATCTAGAATGAATCTTTCACACAAGAGTGATTAAAAACCTTGAAACACAGTCTATACAAAGAGTCCTTCAAACCTTGAAACACAATCTGTACAAAGAGTCCTTCAACCTTGAAACACAGTCTGTACAAAGAGTCCTTCAACCTTGAATCACAGTCTGTACAAAGAGTCCTTCAAATCTTGAAACACAGTCTATACAAAGAGTCCTTCAAACCTTGAAACACAATCTCTACAAAGAGTCCTTCAACCTTGAAACACAGTCTGTACAAAGAGTCCTTCAACCTTGAAACACAATCTGTACAAAGAGTCCTTCAATTTTGAAACACAGTCTGTACAAAGAGTCCTTCAACCTTGAAACACAATCTGTACAAAGAGTCCTTCAATTTTGAAACACAGTCTGTAAAAAGAGTCATTCAACCTTGATTGACAGTGTATATAAAGAGTCCATCAACCTTGATTGACAGTCTATACAAAGAGTCCCTCAACCTTGACAGACAGTCTATACAAAGAGCCATTCAAACCTTGAAAGACAGTCTATACAAAGAATCCTTCAACCTTGAAACACAGTCTATACAATAAAAACACCTCGCCAACAATTCTTTTAAGACTTTTTAGTGCAAAATGTTTGAAATACAGCTTATAACCTTTTACAGCAGTTTTCTTGCAATTTTGAAAACGTTCAAAACTGACAATATATATACAAACAGTCTTTACAGAGCTACCAGTTGGAACAGATTAGAAGTTTAAAATAAACATTATTACGGCATGTATGCATAAAACCATTAAATTCATTCTAATTTCGAAATTAGCTCCACTGATGAGTAAGAATTAACCACAAATACTTGTACTAACTGTCTTATTTGTGTCGCATATCGAAGACTATAAGATAAATTGATTAAAAGAACACGTGAGTGATAAAACAGTCACGGAGAAAATATTTTCTACATAAAAGGCAACCTTCAACGTCCTGTGAGCAACGTAGTTCTGATGCGAAACAGACGCTTGCTAGACTGAAACGAATGCAAGTTGACTGTTAAGCGAGGAACCAGCTGCAATATGTTTCTTATTTTTACTTTTACCGAATAATCACATATATTTTATACAGTGCCTCAAGACTACATAACCCACCTCCAGCCTGAACATTAGACTTGCCTCTACTTTTGTAAACAGCATATTCGGCACATAAGTGCGTTCTTTTATGTCATAAAAAAAACAAAAAAAAACTTGTTTGCACTAAACTTAGTTTAATTATTCGCGAGACGTTAGTTTACTTGATTGAAATATTGTCAATACTACCTAAAGTTTGTACACTAACTACATTGCTCATAACCAGAAATAAATCTTACGTCATCCAACCTTATTTAACTCTTCAGGCAGAAGTTTTACTACTAATAATTTACACAATACACTAATGGAAGATCGTATGAGAATTCAAGATTTCTATATTTTACTTCAGTCCGTACTTAAGGACATGATCACGTGGAGAGACACTTCACACTGGTACTATTGGTTGCATTATCGACTGGTTTTGAATCGCAAAAACACACACATGCAGACTCGTCATAACACTTTTCAAAGCACGTGTATAAAGAAATCAGAATGACTGAACGATGTATTACTACCTTTATTTACAAAAGGTAGAGGGGAGGAGTTGGAAGTACAGAAACAGCGACAAATGATCTAGTCTTAACTATTCAGATGACACCTTGTGCAACTGGAGATAATGAACATTAATGAGATATAGTGGATTTACAAACTCTACATCAACTTACGGGTTTAAACTAAACTTGATCGTAGTCTATATAAAACCCTACACTGACTTACGAGTTTAAAACTAAACTTGACGGTAGTCTATCTAAAAATCTCTACACTAAGTTACGGGTTTTAAACTAAAGTTGACGATAGTCTATCTAAAAATCTCTACACTAACTTACGGGTTTTAAACTAAAGTTGACGATAGTATATCTAAAAATCTCTACACTAACTTATGGGCTTAAAACTAAACTTGACAGTAGTCTATCTAAAAATCTCTACACTAACTTACGGGTTTTCAACTAAAGTTGACGATAGTCTATCTAAAAATCTCTACACTAACTCACGGGTTTAGAACTAAACTTGACAGTAGTCTATCTAAAACTTTCTACACTGACTTACGGGTTTAAAACTGAACTTGACGGTAGTCTATCTAAAAATCTCTACACTAACTTATGGGTTTAAAATTAAACTTGATGGTAGTCTAGATACGTCAAAACTCTACTTACAGGTTTAAAAATAAACATAATGGTAATCCAGATACGTAAAAAACTCTAACTTATAGGTTTAGTATAAACTTGATGGTAGTCTAGGTACGTATAAACTCTACACTGGCTTACAGTTTTAGAACTAAACTTGATGGCAATCTGGATACTTGAAACCTTTACAGTGATTTTGATGTGTATAGTCAGCTTGTATACTAAAAACCTTTTAAATGACTTGGAGATTTATAAACAAAAATAACAAGAGCCAGGATGTTTAAAACATATGACTGACTTGCAAGTTTCGAATTAAACTTGATAGCATTTAAAATATCTACATTTAATTTTAAATGTTTAGAATTAAACATGACGGCGGTCTGAATACTTAAAACCTTTACACTGGTTTTAATTTGGGATAAAGTTCACCGCTGAGCAAAAAAAGAAGCACAAATACTTGAGATAAGTGTTTCAAATTATATCACATCAACCGTACAGCACCAATTACACAGCGAAGCGAGTGTCAATTAAATTGTGAAATATTTACAACAATAAAATTTAAATTAGCAAACTTACGTATATGGTCATATTACCTTGATCATCTTGTAAGATTACTTCATGACGTGAAACAGCCGTAAGCTAGAGTAGAACGAATGCAATTTCAAAGGTTTGTTTGCATTAGTTTGTTTGTAATTAAGCACAAAGCTACATGGCCAGGTGGTTGGGGCACTCGACTCGCAATCTGCGGGTCGCGGGTTCGAATCCGCGTCACACCAAACATGCTCACCCTTTCAGCCGTGGGGGCGTTATAATGTGACGGTTAATTCCACTATTCGTTGGTACAAGAGTAGCCCAAGAGTTGGCGGTGGGTGGTGATGACTAGCTGCCTTCCCTCTAATCTTACACTGCTAACTTAGGGACGGCTAGCGCGGATAGCCCTCGTGTAGCTTTGCACGAAATTCAAAACAAACAAACAAACAAAGCTATACAAAGGGCTATCTGTGCTCTGCCCACCACGGGTATCGAAACCCGGTTTCTACCGCTGTGCGACTGGGCATTTTGCATGGGAAGGGGCATCAGAACTGAACTTCATAAATAAGAAGACAATTCAATACCATTTATTATCTACAGTTTGAGCAACACACAAACACTCATTCTAATATTTATAATATATATATATATATAAAGTAATGACAAGGAGATTTTGTTAAACGACTAAAATTCTGTTGTCATAGTGATTAATGCAAACATATATTTCTAAATGAGACATCCAATTTGTTATTGCTTTCTTAGTCGGGGGGGGGGGGACTTCGATCTAGGAGGTCAGGACAATTGCCCAATTTGCCCTTTTAATCCGGCTTTCCGACTGGGAAAAAGCACAGTAATGTTTTAATGTTTCCAGGATCATTAATTTTTCTCCTTTTGAATACCATGATTAAGTCTTTAAATGATTTGAAAAATAATTAATATAGATACTGAAAAATTAAAATATAGCCACATGTTAATTAACTGGCAGTACATTCGATGGAAACTCAAAAAACAATTCTGTAACTAAAAAGAAAATCTTTATATAAACGCTGTACATTTCTATGAACAAACACTATTTAAAACAAATAGAACAAGCGCAGGTTGGCCCTCTAATAAGGCCCTAGGTTTCGGAGCTGGCGAGCCAGGTTCGAATCTATGCGATACCACAAAATATCCAACCTCCACATTACAAGCTGTGGATGGTAAGGTGCTGATACATAACTGGCTGTCTTTCATATGGTCAATGATTTAAAATTAGTGATGGCGAAAAATAGCCATAGTGGCTTTGCCATGAATAAAAATACAAATAACCAAAGGCGGTACAACCGCCAAACAAACCCATCATTGCTGCTATAGGTAAATACCCATACTATTAAACATAGCTTTAGGATCCAAATTAAAAAACAGATGTACTTGGAGACAGCAATTATAACTTTACATACAAACAATTAACTTCTACAATTTTGTCATCGTTGTTCTTACCACTTTATAGCACTAAACTAGTGTTTTTTCTCTCAAAACTTTATTTAATCTATGATATTGGTAAAAAGTGATTTAAATGATGCGAAATAAAAATGCATGTTAGTTAGTTAGGGAATGACCATTTAACTATAAATTCATTAGTACGTAACCTGTTAGTATTTTTCTTGAAAGAAACGGGTTAATGTTCCATACTATTACATCAAGGAGGTTATATGTTAAAACTCAGATTGTGATCTATTGTTGATGTTTGTTTGTTACAGTTAAATGATATGCGATGCCGTGAGACTGAAAACGATTCAAAATAATAGTAGTAATTCCTAAAATAAATTACCTAACATAACTTGTACGAGTGATTTCTTCACAAACCGACTATATATATATGTCTGAACATGTGTTTGCATTTATTGTTTTTGTACGTTGCTTTTTTATATCGAGTAATATAAAAATAGGCCTATAAATTCCGGAAATGTGGAAGATGTTAAGTTCATTTCATTTCTATAGCATGTCTCAGTTGCCTGAAATCAATGAATGATACTATCTCCGCCAGGAATGTGATGAACACGGGTAAAGGAAGAGCAAAAAAAAAAGTGTCAGGCGTGGCCTATTAGTTAACGTGCCTGGACTGCGAATCCGAGGATTCATGGTTCACATTCCGTTGACGAAAACAAAAAAAAACCGCGCTCTTCACTTTGGAGCTTCAGGTACACTATAAAAGAAGCGGTCAAACAAAAGTAATCCAGGCTAGCGTTGGAAGCTGTTAACTAGTTGCCTTCCCTCTAATCTTATCAGTTCAGAATTAGAGGACAATAAGTGCAGATAGTCCTTGAGTAGTTTTGCATTAATACCCGAAAACAAAACCAATGAACCCTTGTACCTTTGTTCGACAATTCTAAAACAAACAACTTTCAAACAATGACGAATGGTCGTCACTAGTCGTCATTAAACAATTGTACCTGTTGTTTGACCTATTTCAAGCATTTGATAAAAATGTTAAAAAAAACGACCTTCAAAGTCCGGATAATTATAAAATAACGTTTATTTTAACCAACGTTTTACCTTTGTGACTTCATTAGGGTTAGTACATACAATTGATTGATATTCGTTAAATTATAAAACTGCTTGTAATGTTCTATTTCTCGATTCTGTTGTAACAAGCGTTTAAATCCCTCCAATATGAACTAAAATTTTGAAACACAACAAAAAATTTCAAGCATTTGAGCCACACGTTAAGTTTGAGTTTATGGACAAACACAGTATAACTTATGCGTATTTTAAGTAACCGCTTTATTTTATTTATTTTTTGCTGAAAAAAAATGTAGATTTGTGTGCGTGAATGAAAGTCAAAATTTTCACGAATATTTCAATGCCTGATATAAACACTTAAAATCAAAATTCTTGTAACAACGTTCTACCGTAACACAGAACTGGAGCAATAAATCAAGGCACAACACCAATATTCGACGAAATACCCTGAAATCATAACAGGCAAATACGTAACACTACCTTGAGTCATTGCAGTGCCGTTGGTTTGTTTTGAATTTCGCGCAAAGCTACATGAGGGCTATCTGCGCTAGCCGTCTCTAGTTTAGCAGTGTAAGGCTAGAGGGAAGGCAGATAGTCATCATCACCCACCGCCAACTCTTATTTGATTGATACAAAACGTATCAAAAAAGATATTTAGACTTTTACCAACGAATAGTGGGATTGGACCGTCACATATAACGCCCCACGGCTGAAAGGGCGAGCATGTTTGGTGTGACTGTGGATTCGAACCTGCGACCCGCAGATTGCGAGTCGAGTGCCCTAACCACCTGGCCATGCCGGGTCTATTTATGTACAGACAGTCACTAAGTGTAAGAAACATTGCTTAACCTGAGGGATATTTGATAGATTGCTTAATTCTCAAATCACAAACGTAGTAGGTAATTTTAAGCTTTGTCTGTCACAACACTCACTCTTAATAACTCACTAAAATGGTTGAAATAGTTCATTTTCTATGTAAAATACATAGGGCCACTAGCAATTAGTGTTAGTGATAGTATTTTTGCTAATTTTTTTGTGATTCTCATATTATCAGAACCCATCTAACTAACAAGTTATGAACCCACAAGCAATTTGGTGCCTAAATAATTTATTCTGTGTTTAAAAGGTGTCTATGCTGACCTAACTGGTAGATCCAGGGCTAATTATGTAAGTACGGGATATATTGTAGAGGAATTGAAGAACATGTTATCAAATGTTTTTCTTATCGTTTCGAAAGGCACCAGTAGGACTAATTGTAGAGCCGCAGTTAGTACAAATCGATGATGAAGTGATAACCAATTGTCTTCGAAAACGTATTACTCTTAACAACAAAGATATGTCCATATGGGAGTTGATACTGCAGACTTAGATATGGGAGTTGATACTGCAGACTTAAATATGGGAGTTGATACTGCAGACTTAGATATGGGAGTTGATACTGCAGACTTACATATGGGAGTTGATACTGCAGACTAACATATGGGAGTTGATACTGCAGACTTAAATATGGGAGTTGATACTGCAGACTTAGATATGGGAGTTGATACTGCAGACTTAGATATGGGAGTTGATACTGCAAACTTAGATATGGGAGTTGATACTGCAGACTTAAATATGGGAGTTGATACTGCAGACTAACATATGGGAGTTGATACTGCAGACTTAAATATGGGAGTTGATACTGCAGACTTACATATGGGAGTCGATACTGCAGACTTACATATGGGAGTTGATACTGCAGACTTAAATATGGGAGTTGATACTGCAGACTT